TCCCAGTGATTCAGAAAGTCTCTCAGCAAGGCAGAGGCTGATATATGTAAACGTACTTGGTGATTGCAGCTTATTAACCAAACAAGCCAAACCCACTGCCATCGAGTCGATTCTGAAGCATATTAGGGATAGTGTAAATACCGTTTAGGAGTCCCTGGGTGGCGCACATAGTTAAGCACTCGACTACCAACCGAAAGGTTGGCGGTTCGAGTTCACCCAGAGGCACTTCAGAAGACGGGCCTGGCGATCTGCTTCCAAAGGGTCACAGCCTTGAAAACCCTGTGGAGTGGTCGGAATCGACTCTCGACAACTGGTTTTAAACATTGTTTGGTTTTGGCTGCTGTTGAACGTTCTCTGTGTGCAGCACTGTTCAGATAGATGCTCGTGGTTGGTTTTGAGCAGTACTTGTTTGTCCAGATGTTTAGCCCCTCATCGCCAGGCCTTTCCTCTGCGGCGCCTTTGGTGGGGTGTTTGCCCCGGAATGTTCCATGTTTCTGTCGGTGCACCTCGCCCGGGCTTTTCCTCTCCCGCCATCTCTGCATCGTACTCATCCCTGCAGCCTGGGTCCCGGAGCCGTTCGAATCTCCTTCTCTCACCTTCTCTTTTGGGTCCCACCGGCCCCCCCATTTCAGGCTCCCACGACCTCCTTTCCTCCCTCCGGTTGCCTCCTGGCAGGTTTGTTGTTCGTTTTTCCCGCTTTGTCCTTGGTCCAGACCGTGAACAGGGCGCTGGGGTGCTTTCACTCGGATACCGTTTCCTCACCCACTTACAGCTGGGTGTCATTTCTGTTGTGTCAAATCTAAATGCTCCATCAAATCCCGGCCCCTCCCTCAGGGCACCCGGTCCTTGGCTTGTCACTGCTGTTCTTTCCCCCAGAGCCCCAGCGGGACTATGGTCTTGTGCCAGGGGACCATCTCTCCTAGCCCCTACACCTGGCTCGCGAAGGGAGCCATTCACTGGCCCTCCATACCTTGGAACCACCCTAGTCATCTTTTTCGGTTTATTATAATAAAAATATTTTATTGATTCATCTGATCATCAAACATTTTTAAACTTCTTTACACTGCTTCTTAACTTTTCTAAATTTTATGTTTGGTGAAAATATAACAGAAACACACACCTGTTTAGTGTTTCCTACGTGTGCGTTCAGTGACGTTGGTTACGTTCTTCACAGTGTGTCTCCGTTCCCGCTCTCTGCCCATGTTGTTCCACCACCAGTGACTCAGACTCGCTGTCCCCTGACCTTGTCCTCTGTGCATTAGCATTGCTGTTGTCACTGTGATCTCGTACAGATCATTCTTTAACAGAGCGCGCTGCTTCAGGGGAGGGTTCTTTACTAGTTGGGCTAGACTGTGGTTCAGTTTAAAGACGACTTCATGGGACAGCTGCGGTTCAGGGCCTAAAGATTATCTCAGGGTGATAGAACTGGGGGTTCCCCCAGTCCTGGGGGGCCCAGTAAGTCTGGTTTCCGTAAGAATTTGAAATTCTGTTCCACAGTTTTCCTCTCTTTGATCAGGATCCATCTAGTGGGTCCTTGATCAAAATGGTCAGTAGCGGTAGCCAGCAGCATCCGTTCTTCTGGTCTCGTGGCAGTGGAGGTCTGAGGAACCACCCTATTCCTGTCTGCCGGTTTGGTCCTTCCATCCTGGGAATCCCGACTGAGAACTCGCAGCTGGGCAGGCGCTCTGCTTTAATGAGTCCAGTATCACTGATGCCCCAGGTGCCATGGTTCCGAGGGAGATGGAAAGGACGAACAAGCTGTGGTCCCTGCGTGCAGAGACTTCCCAGGGCCCTTGGGGGGGACAGCAGTAAACCGCTCAGGCGCGCAAGGCACAGGAGATGGGCGTGTGGAGCTGGGCGCTCACTTCCGCGGGATCCACAGGAGACAACTCGTTTGCAGTGTGGAGCTCAGGAAGGCCTTTGGAGGAAGTAGCTCTTGAGCTGGGACTTAAAGGATGAGTAGGATTTTGGAGCAGAGGAATGAGGCCAGGGCCCCCCAGGCGAGGCGTGGGAGGAACGAAGGCAGGCAGGAGGGAGTGCTGCTTGTGTGTTTTGGGGGATGGCTGGCCGTTTGCTTTAAGAGTCACTGCGTGGTGCAAAAGGAGTCCTGGTAGCGCAATGGTTAAGCACCTGTCTGCTAACCGGAAGGTCGGCGGTTTGAACGAACCAGCTGCTCCTCGCGAGAAAGGTGTGGCAGTCTGCTTCCGTAAAGATTACAGCCTTGGAAACCCTATGGGGCAGTTCTACTCTGACCTGTAGGGTCCCTGTGAGTCAGAATCAGCTCAGTGGCAGCGAGTTTGGGGTGGTGCAAATGGTTAACATGCTTACTGTTAACAGAAAGGTTAGCAGTTCAGGTGCACCCAGAGGCTCCTTGGAAGAAAGGCCTGGCAATCTGCTTCCAAAAAAGCAGCCATTGAAAACCGTATGGGACATATTTCTACTCTGACACACATAGGAGCCCCATGAGTCAGCTGATGACAGCTGGTAGCTATTTGAGTTAGCTGGACATAGGGTGTGTGTAAGGAGCCCTGGTGGCACAATGGTTGAGTGCTTGGCTGCTAACCAAAAGGTTGGTGGTTCAGATCCATCCAGCGGCTCTGCAGGAGAAAGCGCTGGTGGTGTGCTCCCGGAAAGATGACAGCCTGGGAAGCCCTGTGGGGGAGTTGCACTCTGTCACACGGGTTGCTGTGAGTCGGAATCGACTGGGCGGCACCAGCGACAGCAGCACAGGGCGTGTGTATTTCCTGTGTTTCCTCAGTTCTGGGTCTCTGAGGCACACCACCAACTTAGTCATAGATTCTGCGCACGCGCGTGTATGTGCGCCCTCAATACATGAAACTTACATGTGGCCTGCAAGATAACCCTCTGACTCCAAGAGGGTTAAAGTGTGAAGCAGTAAGCCCCTTAGGGGGGAGGAAATGCCCAGGTGGAGGACGGGAGGTGTGCTGAGGAGCTTGGCCTTTCTTCCAAGGGCGCGGTGAGCACACGAAAGCTTTACGGCAGTGGGTGTGCTGGCAGCCAGCCGTGCGTGACCGCTTTCCTTGTGATACCTGGTAGTATGGGCGTCGAGAGCCCCAGGGAGGAGGCTGGCCAGTAAGGTGGCTGCTCAGACGGCATCGCGTGCCTCCGGAAGTGGCGAGGGTCTGACCCAGGGCAGTGGGATTCCAGAGAAGGGCCAGGTCCCGGACAGGCTGTGATGTGGGGATGTACGTGGTCCCTGAGGACAGCTGGTTGAGGAAGAGCTGGAAGGAGCTGACTCTGAGTTCCCTGATGGGGAGGGCTGCGGAGGCGTGCGGGGGCGCTCAGCTCAGGGAGTCCCGACCTGATCTCTGGTTATCTCGGCACTTAGAAACAAATGTCCTCTTGGCGTGTGTCTCCTTGTAACATTGTCATACTTGATACTAGGTAGAAGGACTGTATCTGTTTCTCTGCATCAGAGAGGATGTATACAGTGGGCTCGCTGTCGGTGGTTTTGGCCCAAGGTGTTGAGAGTGCTTTAAGCAGTGTGGCTCTGTGTTCGGTGGAGTAGAGCTGGCACGAGTCACTTTATGTTTCAGGGAGAGTGTCAGCCCTGTGCATCACGGAGGGATGCTGGTCACCAGTCGCCCCAGACTTGCCTCTCCATCCTCCCTGGGAATCAATTACCATCTGCTTTGAACACCGAAAGGCAGTGTTTTTTGCTGACGGTTTAGGCGACTGTTCTCCCAGGGAAGTTCTGTAGGATGAAAGAGAATGAACATGCTTTCATCAAGGCACATGAGGTGGGATGGCAGAGTGGCTAAGGGAGGGGCCCTTGGGTTACCCGGACCCCGCTTGCCTCTGGTCCCTGCTCCTTCCTAGCTGAGCGACCATGGTGTGCTAAGGGCTTAGTGGCTCACTCTGGGGGCCGTGGTCTCCTCGTCTGTCACATGAGGTCATGGCAGTGTGGGTGGCATAGTTGCATTCTGTGGATTCTCGCGAGGATTCCAGCTGTAGAACAAGGTCCCAGCCCCCAAGGAGCTTACATTACGGGGGGAGGTGAGCAGTTGGAGGCCCTGGGTGATGTCGATGGAGAGCACAGTCGATTCCTAACTGAAAAGGTTGGAGCTTCGAGTCCACCCAGAGGTGCCTCGGAAGAAAGGCCTGGTGGTCTGCTTCCCAAAAACCAGCCATTGAAAATCCTATGGAGCACAGCTCCACTGTGATGCATGTGGGGTCACCAGAAGTCAGAGTCGACTTGGCGGCAACTGGTTGAGATGGACAGCTAACAAGATGATCTCTGGTAGTGATCAATCCTAAGAGGAGCATCTGACATGATGAAGAGTGACAGAGGGTCATGGGGTGCTTTCACATTGGGTGGTCGGGGCAGGCTTCTCGGAGCAGGTGGCCGCTGAGCTGAGACCTCAGTCCCAAGAGGGGGCCAGCTGGGCGAAGGTCTAGGGGAAGAGCATCCCAGGCAGAGGGAACCACAGGGGTGAGCTTGGCTTATCTGAGGACCAGCACGGAGAGCAGGCGCTTGGAACAGGGAGAATGAAGGGGGAAGTAGAAGTGATGGGTGTGGGCCACGTGGGGCCTCACGTGGGCTTGGTGGGAGATTATGTGCATAGAGCACTTGGTACAGGCCTAAGAAGCCCCGGTGGCACAGTGATTAAGCGCTCGGCTGCTACCTGAAAGGTTGGCAGTTTGAACCCATCCAGCGGCTCCACAGGAGAAAGACCTGGCAATCTGCTCCAGTGAAGATTACAGCCTAGGAAACCCTATCGGCGATTCTACTCTGTTATATGGGGTTGCTATGAGTCAGAATCAACAGCACCCAACAACAGCAGCAGCACAGGTGGGGTGCACTGTGAACACCCCAGGAGCCATTAGCGTTCTTTCTGTGGGCTTGGAGGCACCGCTCAAGCAAGAGTCTCTGTGTGAGTCTCAGTGTGGAGCGATCGTGCCTTATGGGAGGCGAGTGGGCCAGCCTGCCGCTCCAGTGGGGCTCCGCACTGACCCCTTCCCACCTCTCTCTCCTGCAGTGCACCGTCCAGGTCAAGTTAGAGCTGGGACACCGTGCCCAACTGCGGAAGAAGCCCACCACGGAGGGCTTCACCCACGACTGGATGGTGTTTGTCCGCGGCCCTGAGCAGTGTGAGATCCAGCATTTCGTGGAGAAGGTGGTCTTCCGGCTGCACGACAGCTTCCCCAAGCCCAAACGCGGTGAGTGGCCCCAGCCCTGCCACCCTGGCCCGCTCGGCTGCACCCCTCGTCCCAGGAGCAGCAGAGTCCACGTGTGCTCATGGCGGGCCAGGTGGCTGTTGCTTAGTGAGGAGGCGGCCTCTCCCACCGCCTACATGGCCCTTCCCCTTCCTCCACTTGGAGGTTAGAGGCCCAGTTCTCCCTCAGCTGTTGAGCTAGTCGTTAGGAAAAACTGAAAGGACTCGGACCGCCTCTCCCGTCATTACTTAAACTCTGAGAAGCACCTGGAGCTCATAGCCATTTCCCTTTAGCTGGCTGACGAGTGACTGAGAACCCGCGGGTGAGTGATCAGGAAACAGCTCGCGGGGCCCACGTGTGATCAGAGATGGCGGTTTCAGGATTCAGGATGCTCGGGGCCACGCGGAGGGGCTCCCTCCCCCTCACCTCACCGCCTCTCGTGTCTCCCCCCATCCCGCCGGACTTTTGCTCAGCAGAAGGGCCTCCCTCACGGGTTCAGCAGATGCCGTGACTGCCTGTGGCTCCCTGGTCCTGTCTTGTGGAGGCTGCGGTCTGTGGGGCAGGGGCGGGAACTCCCTCGGCTTACGGGGATCGGCTTACGGGGATCAGGAGGGAAGAGGCACTCGGCAGGGGGGACCTGAGTGGGGACCTTGGGGATGAGCTTGGTGGCTATTCTGTAAGTCCCATGGGGGCGGGCTGCCCGGGATTCTCACCATTGTATCTGCAGTGTAAGCACAGGGCCTAGCACACCGTGGGGTTCAGTGAATATTTCTCCAGTGAATGCGTGGATAGAGGAATGAGGGACTTCCTCCCAGCAAAATACTTCAGGGTGGGGAGCCCTGCTGGGCTGTGGGCCCTGCACCTGGCGGTATGGTGGCTTAGGTGGCCCTGAGCAAGTGTGGATGGCCTCAGGCCAAAGCAAGAGCCGAGACAGAGACGCCTGGGTGCCCGGCCCTGCGCGTGCAAATGGCTTACCGTTTACAGGGGAAACTATGTATCTTTCCGAAGTAGTGAAGTCAGCTCAGGATTACTTGTGGCTTTGAAACTCATTTCTCCTTAAATGAGTCTTCACCTTCTCCCCTTTTCTTTCCTTCTTTACTAAACCTCTTGGAGATAGCAGATACGGCTCCTGACGATGGCGGGTGTTTATAAAGTCCTCACTACTGAGAAGGTGGCTGTGGCGGCTCAGCCGTAGAACCCGCGCCTTCCGCAGGGGAGACCCAGGTTCGAGTCCTAGCCAGTGCACCTCTGCGCAGCCACCACCCGTCTGTCAGCGGAGGCTTGTGTGTTGCTCTGATGGTGAACAGGTTTCAGTGCAGCTTTCAGACTAAGATGGACTAGGAAGAAAGGCCTGGCAATCGACTTCTGAGAAAGCAGTCATTTAAAACCCTGTGCATCACAGCGGTCCAGTACACAACTAATCGTGGGGATAGTGCAGGGCCAAGCAGCGTTTCGTTCTGCTGTGCATGGGGTCCCCATGAGTCGGGGGCCGACCCAACGGCAGCGACAATAAGAAAAGTCGTTAATTGAGCACTTACTGCCAAGTGCTTTGTCTTTGCAGGATCTCATTTCATTCTCTCCAAAGCCTCGTAACCCTTTTCAATTTCCGTATCTGTAAAGATGTGCAGGCAGGCTCAGAGGGCCCAGTAAGCCGGCTATGCTTAAAGCCAGGGCTCAGCAAACTCTGGCCTGTGGGCCAGACCTGCCCCCTCCGTTTGTATCGGAGCACCAAAACCAGTTGCCGTCAAGTCAGTTCTGACTCGTGGTGACCCCGTGTGTTTCATCGTAGAACCGCCCTCCATATGGTTTTTATGGCTGTGCCCTTTTGGGAGCAGATCACCAGGCCTTTCCTTTGCAGCATCTCTGGGTGGGTTCGAGCCGTTAACCTTTCAGTTAGTAGCACAGTGCTTAACTGTTTGTGCTACCCAGGGACTCCTTATTGGAGCAGGCTGTTGTTGTTGTTAGGTGCCGTTGAGTCTTTTCTGGCTCATAGCGACACCGGGTACAACAGAACAAAACACTGCCCGGTCCTGCGCCATCCTCACAGTCGTTGTTATGCTTAAGCCCATTGTTGCAGCCACTGCGTCAGTCCATCTCATTGAAGGTCTTCCTCTTTTTTGCTGACCCTCTACCTTACCAAGCACGATGTCCTTCTCCAGGGACTGATCCCTCCTGATAACACGGCCAAAGTATGTGAGACGTAGTCTCGCCAATCCTTCCTTCTAGGAACATTGTGGTCATACTTCTTCCAAGACAGATTTGTTGGTTCTTTTGGCTGTCCGTGGTATAATATTCAGTATTCTTCTCCAGCAGCACAGTTCAAAGCCATCAATTCTTCTTTGGTCTTCCTTATTCATCGTCTAGCTTTCACATGCATATGAGGTAATTGAAAACACCATGGCTTGGGTCAGGCGCACCTTAGTCTTCAGGGTGACAGCTTTGTTTTTCAACACTTTAAAGAGATCTTTTATAGCAGATTCACCCAATGCAATGCGTTGTTTGATTTCTTGACTGCTGCTTCCATGGGTGTTAATTGTGGATCCAAGTAAAATGAAATCCTTGACGACTTGAATCTTTTCTCCATTTATCATGATGTTGCTTATTGATCCATCTGTGAGGATTTTTGTTTTCTTCCTGTTGAGGTGTAATCCATACTGAAGGCTGTGGTCTTTGATCTTTATCAGTAAGTGCTTGAAGTCCTTTTCACTTTCAGCAAGCAAGGTTGTGTCATCTGCATAATGCAGGTTGTTAATAAATCTTCCTCCAATCCTATGCCCTGTTCTTCTTCATATCGTCCAGCTTCTCGGATTATTTGCTTAGCATACAGATTGAATAGGTATGGTGAAAGGATGCAACCCTGACACACACCTTTCCTGACTCTAAACCACGCAGTATCTGTTTGAACGACTGCCTCTTGATCTGTGTACAGATTCCCCAGGAGCACAATTAAGTGCTCTGGAATTCCCATTCTCCACAGTGTTATCCATAATTTGTTATGACTCACACAGTTGAATACTTTTGCATAGTCAATAAAAAACACAGGTAAACATCTTTCTGATATTCTCTGCTTTCAGCCAGGATCCATCCAACATCAGCAATGATATCCCGCGTTCCACATCCTCTTCTGAATCTGGCTTGAATTTCTGGCAGTTCCCTGTCGGTATACTCCTGCACTGCTTTTGAATGATCTTCAGAAAACTTGACTTACGTGTGATATTAATGATATTGCTCGATAATTTCTGCATTCAGTTGGATCACCTTTCTTTGGAATGAGCATAAATATGGATCCCTTCCACAGAGTAGAATTTTCTTCCACAGAGTAGAACTGCCCTGTAGGGTTTTCCTGGCTGTAATCTTTCCAGAGGCAGATCACCAGGTGTTTCTTTTTAGGTGCTTCTGGGTAGGTTTGAACCACCAGCCTTTTGGTTAATAGCCCAGCATTTAACCATTTGCACCACTGGGGACTCCTTACTGGAGCACAGCCACACGCATCTGTTTGGTGTCGTCTGTGGTGCTGGCTTGCGACCTCAGCGGAGCAGAGTGGTCCTGACTCCTGCTCTGTGCCCTCCTCCTCTGTGCGGGGCCCTCCTGGCTTTGTCTTCCATTGAGGTTCTCCCTGTCTGTCTCCCTCACCTGTCCTCTCACCTGTTCACGGAGCACTGGCTGGACCTGGGATGGCGCTGTTTATTTCATGCCCGCTCCCCAGCATGTCAGTCACAGAGCAGCTACTAGAGGAGTGCTCCCCAGCATGTCAGTCACAGAGCAGCTACCAGAGGAGTGCTCCCCAGCATG